TAATTTGAACCGTCCTACAATTCTCGACGCAAACAGATCTCGACATGGTTCTCGATTTCAAAACGAAAACGAAGCACTAAAAGAGAAAGAAAAATATCTATCACAGTCCACAAAATCATAGATCTTAATGCTCAGATCTATAATTCGTTTTCTACTCAAACCTAGACTTGTAATTTTCTATATTTTTAAATTATCTTTCTGGTCGACCTCTAGTTGGTGTCGTGATTAACTAACTACATAATAAAAAAAAATAGAAGAGAAAGTGTTAAGAATTTTTACATTTTATTTATGTTGTGAAATATTTGCTGTTACGAATTTTATTTTTTTAACAGAAAGTTTCCTAAAGACATCTTATATTAATATGCTTTTCATTTTGTTATAAAATGTATTGCCTTGAACTTTACTTATGTAGCAGTGACCTGGGGCATAAGGTTGAATAAAATAGTGATTGATTTATAAAAAGTTGATCTAGAAATAATGGAATGTACTGCGCGATAATGCTGAAAACTGAAAATAACATGTAGTTGATCAAATACATCGTTAGAGAGCTTGTGAAATGGTAACACTATTAAGCGAGCTACATTTTTGGACAACCCAAGAAGATGTTATTATAAAACACACCGATTATGGTTCTTTTAAGTAAATTATTTAATTACTTCATTTAAATAAATATTTTCAAACGAATTTTTTTTTTCTAGGTACTATAATAAAAAGGATAATACTGACAGTCCTGCCGCACAAAGTAAAAAACAGTATTGTGAACAGCGTGGTATGATATGGAGTCCTATTAATAAGAGGCCGCAAAAGTTAAGGGATAAACTAAAAGAATTGGAGGAGTATCTGATACATAATAGGATAGTATTTTTTACCTGGGATGAAAATAAGTTAAAACTTTTACTTTCTACTGGATTATTAGTGAATATTGCTGTAAATAATGACACAAGCGATATTACCACTATTACTTTTGACAAACAGTTGTCTGCCAAACTACAGGTCAACATAATATGTGATGGTAAGTATTAGACATAATATATTAATTTTAAAGGCCGAGTAATTAAATTAAAAATATAATTTTGATGCATCATGAAATTGAGTGAGCATTGGTGAATTTATTTTGCAGGTATAATTATAGATAATCAAGTTATATGTATTTGCAACGATGGCCATGTTTTTGGTTTCGGAGGCCAGTGGAAAGATGGATGGGTGTTGGAAGGTGGGCCCCGAAGGAAACTTTATTATCATGGAGATTGGTTAGCAGTGTGGGGCAAAGCTGGTGCTGAACATCCTCAGCCTTGGAGTCCTCTAGCAAAAGACTATCAGAGAGCAAATTTGCATCTTTATTGGATAGGGGCTAGAGATCCAGAACTGTTAGCTTATAAGAAGACTGATGGTGAACCTTTACAGGTTGTTGTTAGTAAAACATGTAATCGTACATTGATTGTAGTGGAGCAAAAATTGACTCAGAGAGGTAAGAATGTTATCTGTTAAAGCTGTTTTACATTGACAATTTATTGATGAAGTAGGTAATTCATGAAGTCGCTTTATCAAGAAATTGGGCAAGTGTAATGCATCAAATCTGCTGACAAATAACTTTTCATCAAGTTCTTGACGAATTAGAACATGACATAACTGACAGATTCTATGGTAAATGCACATAATATTATAACGTAAATGTATATAAAAACGTGTCGCTAAATCCGAAATGTCGTAAACGGTGTCGTAGTAAACGATATTTTCAATATGGTATTTCTATAGGATTAAATTGGGACTTCCAAATTCCATCGTTATATCCAATATATCATATAAAGCAATGTCGTTATAACCAATTTTTATTGTATTTTAACAAATACAGTAAAGCAATCTTTAGATTTGATTGCGAAAAATATTTTGACCGCCTTACACGCTTAGACAAAATTGGTCCACTCGGTACAATCCTTATTTTCCTTGTCTTTTGGTTTACAGCAGAATGTGAGTTTATGCAATGCTAATCTTGGAAAGTCTAACTGACTCCATACATCGTTTAGTTTGATACGGCTTCATGAAAACTTACTATTTGATAAGGAAAGAGCCAGTTCTCAATAGTGCTGGCAACTGAAATCGGTTTTTTGGATAGTGGGTTAACCGGTTTCGGATAATACGGATTTTTATGAAATCCGAAAACCGGTTATTCGGTTATTCGATTCTTCAAATATCCGAAAACCGGTTATTCGGTTATTCGAATCTTCAAATATCCGATTATTCAAATAATCGATTATTCGATGATCTACTTCCTATTTTTTTTTGGACATCGGTTTGTCCGATTGCAATTGACCTTTTTTTTAGACACTTTCTCCGGGTCTGTCTTTGTAAAGCACCGATTTTCAGATATCCGGTTTTGGCGACTCAAGTAACGGGTTATACGAATAACCCGTTTTAGCAACTATTCGACTAACCGGTTTTATCTGAAATCGGTTTTTACGGATCCTGGTTAACCGGTTTCACTTTTTTTCGGTTTTTGCCAGCACTAGTTCTCAATAGGTTATTTTCATTAACTCCTGAAACCAAATCCGTCACTATTTTCCATATTATTTGACAATTCTTATTTTTATTTTAGAATTCTGCATCCGTTTTCACAGATAACACAGTGCCACAAAACAATAAAAGTGGGTTGAGCTGTAAATCAGATCACTGTTTTCCATTGTACTTTGATCGCCTGAATCCGAATTTATAGTCAGAATTCCTGACACTCCTCTAGAAAGTGGTTTTTAATATTTTAAACTGACTTGAGTAGGTAGTGATTTAGATTTCTTTGTTTATTGAATTATCGTAAACTGTAAGTCTCGTTAGACCCTGTGAAATCCATCTAGATATTTAAACTATTACCACCACACATTAAAATAATATTAGAGTTTTATTCCCGTGTCCATAGTTATTTCTAGGCTTCTCGAGTGCTCAAAATTCAAACAAATTACCTTTTTTTTTTTTTCAGGATATTCATACAAATACATCTGACATGCTTTTTCACAGTTGCGGTTACAGATATATTAAATTCCATTAATATTATGCTGATCTTCATTTTCACCTTTGCCAAAAGGAAAATGTTTTTAAACATTTACTGAAATTTTTTAAAGAATAATAGGTATTTATTTGGCGTTTTGATTGTTCATATGCATTTTTTAGAATTAATTTGTCATAATAAAATTAAAATTGTAATGTTTTAATTTTGACGCAACAACTTATTGAATTATGTATGACCAAGTGTAAATGTTTTATTGTAACGCGTGGTGGTAATAGTTTAAGTAATTAGATGGATTTCACAGGGTTTAACGACACTTACAGTGTACGATAATTAAATAAACAAAGAAATCTAAATAAAAAATTTGGATAAATTTGTAACGAATACACTGAAGATGAATTTTTCGAGACAAAACGTCTGAATCTGGTTCGGGTTGAGGCAGTATAATATGTCATAAAGGCTTGCAAAAAATGTAATAAAATTTCTGGGCTCGTATTTAAAAAAATGAGGTTGATGGTCCTGGAGAGACGAAACGTTACATATTAAAATTGATTATGCCATTCGATAGAGGGCAAAAAGTGGCCATGAGATAGTGTTCTTTTTTCAATATCACCTCAAACAAAGCTGAAATGAAACAAAAACAGATTTCCAAAATTATGTTTTTTTTCAAATATTTCGAAAACTAATCATGTTAGCCTTGATTTTTTAGAGGCATAATGTTGGTCTCCTGATTATGCAACTTTGCCCCCCATTTAAGCTACTTTGTACCTCTTACAGTTTCCGAGATCCCTGTAGTGAGAAGCGAATTTGTAACAGCCTGTACATCTAACAAAATATTGTAGGTTTACTCAATCCATTTCCAACAGGTCAATAATTACTTTTACACAGAGAAAAAAGATTCGGAATGGATTGCGTTCTGCTGATACAACTGCACGAATTACAGGTCACAGATAAATCTTGATACTTAAGAACTTGTTATTAATCTATCTCGCAAACTTGTAGTGAGTTGTTGAACAAACTAGTAGATTACAAACTTTATAACAAATATCTAAACTATAACAAAGTTCTTTACTTTATAAAATCAATGCAATTTTTGACCAGACCTATTTTGATAAACAAGGCCCCAAAGTGTTTCTAAAAAAGTACCTTTGAAAGTTTAGGCAGTCTAGTCACATTAGGTTTCTATTTAGTTGTAATTTCATGAGAGGTAGACTAGAGTCATTCTTCCAAAATTTACATTGAAATCTCGACCATTTTGAAAGTCGTCGAGTTGGAACTTGGTAATGAATTTTTATTTGCTGAGATATAATATAAACTACTCAGAAAGATCATATTATGTTTTCTTTATATCTCAATTTCAACAATGTATTTTTATAAAATATTTAACAATTGGTACAAAAAAAATTCTTTCTAGGTGCAGTTTCCGCTGAAGTGAGCAATTTCGAATTGGTTGGGAATCACCTAAAACGAATATCAGTTACATCAGTTCCCTTACAAAACCACATAGTCTGCTCTGCTTTGAATAGTACCGAGGATAGACTCTTGATCTCATGTATAGATGGCTCTCTTGCTTTACTCGATCGTAATAGAGGATCCACCATAACGGTTAAGGCTGCTTTTATCCCTACATTTGCAGCATGGCATTCTCAAGGCGCTGTAGTAGCCATAGCTAACGATCGAGGCCAAATGCAGTATTACGATACCGCTTTAAACTGTATAAAGAGTCAAATCTTAGGGGAAGATTGCACTCCAGCAGCTATCATAGATCTCTCTTGTTACTTCACTGTGCAGTTTTGTGTGGCTTCTATCAATTGGGGACCCAGAGATCTGGTTTTTTCTTTGGAACAGGGTCCTGTAGTTGTCGTGACGCACGTTGAAGGCTCTCTAACGTTTAAGGCTCTCGTGCAAAAATATTTAAATATGGGGAGAGTGGACAAAGCCATTAAGTTATTATTAAGTTGGGAGTTTAATGAGGAAAGTTTTTATGTACTGCAAAGGGTGGTTGCCTATTTGATGAGGCAGCCTTTGACGGAAGACGTGGCTCAGCATTTACAGAACGCCTTAGGTAGTTTCCATAACAGTCCTGTTCCGATAAGGCCACAGATAAGGCATCGGTTTGGAAGTCAGGTAAGTTTTTGGTAACTTGATACAATGTAAATAAATTTAAAATTGTACATTAAAAATGTCTAATAGAACTAACATCACTGCACAATTAACTGGCAAAGGGAATGGAAAGGAGATTGCCAAAAGGGAGAAATTGACTAAAATTAAACTTCTGATTCACATTACAGTGTAAAGTTGAGAATTATTCTGACAATGACCATTTTTCAAAACTGGTCAGAGGCTGCAACAGTAGATGTGGTGAAAATCAGTTTCGTACCAAACTACGATTCAGTTTTGTAGTTTCATAGTTTAATTTACATTTTTCTCACTTTGATCCTATGCTGTCACTATTACAGAGTTTTCATCATATATGATTACAAGCCACGTGACCAGTAATTTTATTTGAAACAATAATTTTATTTTCTTCACGTTGGGAATTAAATTTTGGTAAAATTAAACCAATAATATCGAGATTACATTAAAACGCAATATTATGTTTTATCGTCGTGATTGGTGTAATTTTTCATGAAATTCTATTCAACCGACCAGCAATTGCATTATCTCGAGTGTAGATGTAACTGTTTGTCATTGTTCATTGTAAACCAATCATTAATATCGGCGACGGCAAGATTTAGGCAATTTTCGTTACCAGTACCAATCGTGCATTGTTAGGTTACCTAAGTTTTGCTAATATTCTTATTGACAGCACATGGACCTCAAGTGTATACAATTTTTTAAACATGTACTTTTGATGAATAGAGGTTGAAAATTTTTGAAAAAGTTTTTCATCAAAAAACCTTAATTTTTCCCAGAAAAATTGAAAAGGAAAAAGGAAAAATTTAAATGGAAATGGACTTTTGTTAAAATTTATGATATAAAAGGTTCTAGCTACTATGTTTGTTGAAATACAGTCTGTTACTCAAGTGCGTGCGGTTCGCTTTGGCCTTAATAGATGACACATCGATCTGATTTTTTCCCTCACATTTGTATATACTGGCTCTCATGTTGCGAGGTTATTTCAGTTTTGCATGTTGTATATCGATTCTGCATACGCTAGCCGCTTCGAAGCGGTGTTTTTGTGTATCAATTCAAAACGACCGGAAATGTCATTTGCTGCTTCCGCTTGGTACATGCAGAAGTCTGAAGCATTTGTCAAGAAATGAGTAAATCACTATAAAAAGGTTAAAAACGTCGACGACTTGCCGTAACGTAGCACCTAATGAAAGTAGATGTTTGGGGATGCTTCTGTATGAAAAGATTTGGCACTTTGTACTTGTTCACGCACAATTTGAAGGCCCAAAAAATGTTCAAAATATATGAAACATTTTTATTAAAAGCTGCTCGAAGGTGGTTTGGTGCAAATGACAATTCATGGGTGCTTCAAGAGGATAACGATTCCAAACATCGGAGTTGCTTATGCATAGACTGAAAACACGAAAAAGGCATTGTCATTGGCCTTCTCAGTCCGCTGATACCAATTCAATTGAATTGGACGAAATTAATGCTCAGGGGGAAACAAAAGCAGCTGATCAGACATATTCGAGAGACTTAGAGGTCTTTACCTGACATATTCGCCAAAAACCTGTCAAAAAGCATGCCTCGACGCTGTCAAGCTATAATTGACAATAAAGGCGATTGTACAACATACTAGTCAAACACATTTTAGGTTTAACGATTGCACTAAGCGGTTGAAAAAGAATTTTTCATAAATTCTCTTTTTTGCAGATATATCAGTCCATAAACTCTTGTGGAACAGACTGTAAATATATTATTATATAAAAAAATAACCTTTACTTTCCTCTATTTTTGAAAAAATTCATTCTAATTCTCCTTATTCCCAGTTAATTGTAAAGTGGTTTTTAGTCAAATTGCTCAGATCAATATCAGAAGTTCTTTATTTTGTAGGTATTTTCCTTAACCAGGAGATTTTTTCATCAGCTGGTTAGGGCAAATATGTTCGAAACAGCATTTTTATTAGCAGTCGATGTTGGTCACCATGATTTATTTATGGATCTCCATTATATCGCATTAAAAATTGGGGAAAGCGAAATGGCAACTGCTGCAAGAGCACAAGCATCTACATTGTTGAGTAGGTGTTCAAGTGAAGGTAAAATTACATATATTTCCTTGAGAAAGTAATAATTTAACGTTCTTATAGTGTCAAACTGTTCTCGTTCGTCCTGTTCGCAATGCAGCGATTCGGAAAGTAGTTCTAGCGAAGAATACAATTTGTCCAATAATCAGAAAGAACAAGTCAAACCACTCAAAAATAAGACTGAGAACATACCGCCCCTTCCTTTAAATTCGGATTTGACGACTACTTTCAGCCAGCCCGATCTAACAACTTACAGGCCCATTATAGAAAAGGAAAGTGTTGCAACGGCTTCCCAGGTGCTGGAACATTCTAGATTAAGTTTTACCCCCAGGGCTACATACGTTAAGGCCCCGCAAGTACCTAGCAGCTTTACGAAACTTAATCTGTCAAATAATTCGAATATTCCTGCTCCTCCTTTACCGTTTACCCCACCAATTCCAAATTTGCCTAGTAGTTCTATGGGAATACCCTACATGCAGAATTCTGCGACTCCTAATGCAACTTTTCATAACCCCAGTGCCTTTGCTTACACACAGCCAAAATTTTTACCATACAATAATTTTTATAATGCCGGTATGTCACGTAGTACCTTTCTGTCTGGTAGTATGTCTAATATAAATAGCTCAAAAATGCCTCAGAACTCCACTCTTTACTCAGCGTTTAGCTCATCGAATTTATCGGTGAATAATATAAAAAAGTCTTTTACGTCGATCAATAAAGTTCTTCCTCCTCCTTTGCCAAATTTGACCGGTAATATCATACAGATCAACAATCATGTCGAGACAGTAGTTCTGTCGTCCAATTTAAATCATAATTACGGGAACAACACATCCAGTGCATTATCCTCTTCATCTGATAGCAGTTCTACAAATGCCAGCGGCAAAAAACATCAGGCGAAGGTCAAGTTTTCTGATACAGTTACTGCTTTTATTGTTCCCGAAATAAAAAGACCACAGAGGCCTCCTCCACCTCCTCATGTTACGGACCCTCGAAAGGAACTAGCTGACAGTCTACCACTTTGCCATCCTAACGAGGATTATTTGAAAGATTTTACGCCTGTGAGGAAAGAAGATAATGAAGAATCAGAAGGGGGACAGTCTAAGATCAAAGTGGTTCATTTTGGGGTTGTATAATGTTCTTTTAGAAGATACTCTTTAGTTTGTGATAAAAAAACATCGAGTATGTTGTTTTTAGGAAAATATTTTTTTGCACTGCCCAAGAGTTACCTTTTTTCTAATTTACAATTTTGTCAGTTCAGTGCCGAGTATAATATAGGATAGGTTTTTAAATATTTTTTGACTGAATTGTACATGAAATTTATTTTTTACAAGAACATACAAAAATTAAATTGGAAAAATTAGCCTAAAATAATATATATTTTCATATAAATAATAAAATAATATTTGATGAAGTATACAGGGTCAATTTTGAATGGGGGTCATATTTTTATGGAGGCCATCTTTGATTTTTAAAAACGCATAAATTTGTGTTCTTCAATTCTGTTGTGAAAACTGAATGTTTGGCCAAGTGGTTACATTGAATGTGAATTTGTGGTGTATCAGTATTTGTTTCTTAGTCAGTTCTCAAAGTTTATGTAAGGCAGAAAAAAACTGATTCATTTTGTTTAACATTGTGATATTACTTACATTACACGAGTCAAATTTATTTTCACACTATTTGTTAATAATTTATTTGTTTCAGTCTGATTTTGTGCAGATTTCCAATTTTGGAAGGCTGAAAATTTTCTTTGGAACACTGTAACTTTTATAAGACGGATATAAATTAGATCCATAAAGAAATTTTTCAGAAGGTGCACAAACTGGTACAGTTGCTACAATACTTGTCGAGATAGAATTCCAAGAACGCTTTGAAGAAACACACGTTCCTAACTGCAAAACAGTATGGACTGCAAGCTGCTACGATGAACCCCATGCCAATGTCTTTCCGTCTCGGGCGTCGAACACGGTTAATTCCAGGAAGGGTTTTCTATCTCCGCAAATATCGCATGGACTGTAAATAAGATTTTATCTTAATTTGCATTATTGCCAATTAACATGGGTAATTTTGTTAAAGTAAAATAAAAGTTAATTTGTTTTCAATATCTAAAGAAGTCGAAAATGGGAAACAGTTATAAACCAAAAAAACTTTAAATATACACTTCGCAACAAAATTATGGCAACAAAATTTTTCATTGAAATTTTGCCATTTTTCTAATGCACATAACCGTCAAATTTCATTGTATCAAAACGATTTTTTTTTTCATTTTGTAGGTTATTCTGCAAATATATGCGAAATGGATGCAAGTCGATGCTGCATCTCCATGTCCCGATAAACCTCAAGCATTTTTTTTTCTTAAAAAATTTGATTGCTTGACGCATTACCTGGATCGCCCCGATTTTTTTTCGAAAATGACACCATCCATGTGACCAGTTATGCCATTTTGAAGTTATTCATGTTTTTAACAAATACAAAATGAGAAAAAAAATAGCATTAGAAAAATTTTGTTATGCAGTGGTTTGTATAGGGGCATTTCACGCCAAATCGAACACTTTTAACTCTGATCCATTCGATTTGGCTGAAACTTTTTTATTGTTTTCATTGAAAACCTGATTTTTTTCAAATTTTCTCAACCAACTCAAAAAAAGGTAAATTTTTGAAAAAAATAGCTCTTTTTCTAAATAACCCATAACTTTTTCAAAAATTGAGATATTGGGACATTTTTTTTTCAAAATTTTTGTACATTCTATCTTCACTGCTTTTATTTTAAATTTTCGAAAAAAAAAAAACAAAATTTCTTGATTACCTTTTTTGAATTTTTTTTTTCTTATAAAAAACTGAAATTTTTTATAAATCCTCAAATTTTTTCAGTGGTTTTTTCGTTTTCTATTTTTTTTTATCGATTGAAAAAAAAATTTTTGCAAATCCACTGAAAATTTTTGAAAATGTGTAATAGAATCCCAAAATTGAAAAAAAAATATATGAAAGAAATAATTGAAAAAATAAATCAATTTCTTTTGAAAAAGTTGAAATATTTGTAAGACCCACGATTGTCCGTCAAGAGATCAGGTCGGGCATGGCAAGGATCGATCCCACCGCCGACCGACGATCCCGAGACGGCAAACAGGGCTAGTGCGACGACCGCGGCTAACCGCGGACGCCTATTAGTCACATAAGAAAAAAATTGATCGTTTTGAATAATTTTTTTGTATTTTTTTTTTCGAAAACTACATCCAAAAACAAAGAAAATTAATAAGTTGTTATTTGGGTCCATTTTTAGACGAACAGTGGGTTTTAAAAAAAGACATGCAACACATTTGAACTCAAATAAATCATTTTGAAACCATCCTCTTGACTTTTTGAAATTGTCGTCGATCGCTGCATAGAATAAATGTTTTCAATTTTGGGATTCTATATACAGGGTGTTCCTAAATAAGTGTCGCAACGGAACACTATAAATTCCTCTTGAAAAAAGAAACATTCTTTTCCTCTTCCATTTTTTTCTCTGGGCTTTCGTTTTCGAGATACACGGTGTCAAAACCTTCATTTTTTTCAAATTTTTTGCCAATATCTTAGGAACCGTTTGAACTACAGGACTGAGTTTTTATACACGCATTACCACTATTAATAGCTACTTTTTCGCACCCTTCTCAAATTCATTGAACGTGCCAGTGGTGGAGATTTTAAGGTATCGTAAGGGTTTTTCCCCCTAACTTTTACGCCACTGGAAAAATTGACATTTGACAGCAAATTCTGGAAGCGCCAATGAGTTCTACAAAAAAAGAGTTCTCTTGGTTCATTGCTCTAAAGTCAACCGTTTTCAAGAAAAATGACTATGAACAAAAACAAACATTTTGCTAACGTTTCAAAAATCTTTTGTAATTCAAAAGATAGATAGTAATAATTAACAAGTTTAACGAGATTTAACAACATTTGCAACAAGTAGCTATTAATAGTGGTAATGTGTGTACACAAGCTCAGTCTTCTAGTTCAAACGGTTCCGAAGGTATTGACAAAAATCTGAAAAAAAGTTTTGACACCGTGTATCTCGAAAACGAAAGCCCGGAGAGAAAAATGGAAGAGGAAAAAAATATTCCTCTTTTGAAGAGAAATTTACACTTTTCCGATGTGACACTTATTTAGGAACACCCTGTATATATATTTTCAAAAATTTTCAAAATGTAAAATAAGCTAAATTTGAAAAAAAAATCTTTTCAATCAATACAAAAAATTGAAAACGAAAAAACCACTCTGAAGAAATTTGAGGATTTATAAAAAATGAGTTTTTTATAAGAAAAAAAAAAAAAAATAAAAAATTCAAAATTGATTACCATAATCATCGAGAAATTTTCGTTTTTATTTTGAGAAAATTATAAAACCATAAATAAAACTTTTTTTGAGTTGGGTGAAAAAATTTGAATACATTCTCAGGTTTTCAATGGGGTAGAATTGGTAGAAAACAAAAAAGTTTCAGCCAAATCTAAAGGGGTCAGGGTTAAAAGTGGTAGATTTGGTGTAGAACGCCTCATTAACATTTTAAAAAAATCAAAAATATTAAGAATGACTTGCTAACATTATTAGAATAATGCATTTCACACATGACAACTATTATTAAGAGAACTTATTTAATTAGTAATTCCGATCTCCTGTGGTATTAGTTAAGTACTTTGCATTTTGATTTATGATCTCATAAATTCTACAGAGCGTCCATAACAGTGTCTGCAAAACTTTTTTATCTAAAGGTACAACGGGTAAGGGAATTTTTTTCGCAGTTCAGCGACTGAAATTCTATTGATTCTTCATCAATATGAATAATAATAAATTTTAATATTGGTAACAATAAAATAACAATAACATCAACAAAGGGGAAAAATATTTCAAATGCAATAGTCAGGACGATGACATACTCAGGAAACAAATTCCCTTGCCTGAAACGGGGAATTTGTTTCAATATCATATAACCCTTATACTCGAATAAGGTGGTACGGACTCACGTCTGAAACAAGAAAACAGTTTATTTGTTTCGCAAATTAATTGACTGGATGATTAAAAATCCAGTATATATTGGTAACAAAATTTCATGTGGTTTGTTACAGCTAGGTACAAGTGTCACGAAATTTGTTTCTGCAGAATGTCATCGGCCTTAAGGGGTAATATTAAATTGGGACCAGAAAAATTACGTTAATTTCATGAATTTTCTTAGTCTATTTATTAAAAAATATTTGTTGATAAACTTTTGATGACACTAACATTTTTTTATAAAAAACTTGCAAATTGGAGGAAATATGGTTTTTCTCTGATAAAGCCTGCTTTTAAACATTGCTTGCGATGGCCATGATAACTCCATAACAGCTTATCTGAAACCAGAGTTCCAGGAGATTATGTTAGCGTGTAGCGTTGTGACGGGCATGAAGGAAGGATTCGTTGAAATTTTAATTAAAAAAAAAATTATTACATTTAAAAAAAAATCACTCGGTGATTTGCAAAACTTTTTTTTTAATAAAATATAAAATCCTTCATTCAGGCCCTGCCTATTGCCTATCATATATCATAACAAATAAGCACACAAAGTTTGAATTTGATCGGGTTAATAGTTTTTTGTCTATAATTTTTTCATAAAGAAAAACAAAATGTGCACCTAAATATAAAAATCAACGTTTCTTAAAAATTAACCCCTGACTATTAAAGGAAACACTTTCAAACAAACACAGTGATTAATGTACATAATTTTATTTATGATATGAATAATAAAAGTTGTATATTTGTATTTTTTCATGTTTGATAAGGTTTTACGATTAAGTGACAAAAGATATATTTTTGCCTTTCGACTTCAACTAAAGGCAAGAGTATAATTTGTAAATAAATAATATATATTAAACATAAGAAAAAGATGATCGATTTAGACAGCTCTCTATAATAGTATGTTTCATTTTGATAAGAAGTATTAATACACACACTTTCTGTATGAACATACATACAATCATGGGCGTAGCTAGGATTTTTGCTTGGGGTGGGCTCTGGGTTGCAAGCAAAGCCTCAAAAAAAAAAAAAAGCTCACGCAGTTCAAAACCTGAACACTTTCTTTTGATTCTAAAAAACACGTCACGCATTCACCGACTTACCGATATAAAATTTCAAAACTTAAGCACTTTTAGGTTTGGCTGGATGATGGAAAATGCATAATAATGTAATTTTTGTAACTTACAGCAACAGTTGGCGCCCCCTTAGCTACACCCATGCATACATTATATGTATACAAAATTTTTGTGCAATAATAATGTATAATGAATCAAAATAAGTGACACATTAATTATTTTTGTATATCCCAGATCTTTATTAGATTTAAAATAAATATATTTTTACATTTTAGGTACATAATTTTTTTATTACTCTCTGGTGACATAGTTCCTAAACCCATGGTTTTGACTACAGGGGGAGCGCATTTCGAAGAGAGGAGGAATATGCGTAGAGCTGCGGGGGGTGTGGGGCAGGGGCATAGGCGAAAAATTTTCAGGAATTTTAAGGTCACTGTTTTGAAAGTACCCCAAAATGTATACTGTCAGTGTGTACAGTAGATACAACGCGAGACGTAAAAGATGAAAGATATTTATAGAGCCCTAGTGGCGGCTCCTGACGAGTCGCCACTGGGACTCGTGGTAAGCAATTATTTATTATTTAAAACGATTATTTATTATTTACTATTTTAATAACATCAATTTATACCGTTTAATGCACTCACCTATTTTTTAAAGTTAAAATCCATTCTCCTGCTTTTGTCCGCAATGAACTTCTGCGTCACCTTTTCGTTAAAGTCTGGAATATTTTGAACCATAGAACTCTCAATAGACAACATTCCTAACGCACTTAGACAATCTTCACACATAGTATTTCTCATAAAAGTTTTAATCAGTTTTAGTTTTGAAACACACCTTCCTCGTTCCGATGTTGTCATTGGTATAGTCAATAATATTTGCAAAGCTTGAGTAATTTCCTTAAAAACTGCTTCTAGACCTAACGATAGGATGAGATTTAATGTTGTTAAACAACCAGACGTTCTTGGATTATCGATTATTTCTGGTCTAGAATAAAATATATTTAATTCCATTATTAAAAGTTCTTTGTCGATCATTGGAGAGGCTCTGCAAAACTGTTCTATATCATTTAATGGGAGTGCTTTTTGATATTCTGCATAGTTTTCCTTTAGAAACAGTTTTGCCCCTGAAAGGTGATCTTTAAACTTGAAGCGCTCTTTAATTTGAACGGTGATGATATCACAGACTTCTCTTGCAAATAAATTTGAATTTTCATTATTTAACCTTTTCTTTTTCTTATATTGTGGGCTCTTTCATCAGGTGTAGCATCTTCAACAGGGGGCAATCTATTTCGAATGTTTTCAATTGATTTTTCAAAATGTTTCATTGCTATTTGTATTTTTGCTGGATCTGTTTGAATTTTTTGTAGCTGGTTGTACAAAATATCTACATGCGGCATAACTTGCACAAAAAAATTTAACCAAAACAAAAAACAATCATCTTCGAGCCATTTAGCAAATCCAGCAGCTAATATGTCAGAGTTTCTTACGTACCAGGGCGCGTCGGTGGCCGTGCGGAGGGCTATGTTTTCCACAGCCTGTAATGACTTTAAGTGGCTTTTTGCCGCGTGACCCCACGCCGTGGAGGCGTAGGTTAGCTGCGGTTGAAGTACCACCTTGATAAGCGTTCGCTTATTCCTTAAACTGAGGGTGTTTCCACCTTTGAGTAAGGGATAGAGCCTAGCCCTGGTGGTCTTCGTTCGCGCCACCGTCTCCACGATGTGCGGTTTCCACGTGAGACGCTGGTCCATCGTCACGCCCAGGTATCGTGTTTGTCGATTCCAGGAGATGGGTTTCTGGGATAGTGTCAGTCTGTCGAGGTTTTGTAGGATTTTTCGTTTGGTAAAAAGGATAGCCGAACTTTTGTTGGGATTAATTTTGACTTTCCACCTGTTGCACCAGGTTTCAAGTTGGTCTAAGGAGTTTTGGAGGAGGGAGGCGGAATATCTAGGATCTACGGATTGGGATGTAATTGTCAGGTCGTCGGCGTATAAGTGATTGGGTCGGAAGGCGAACTGCTCGTCTGGAATGACTTGCAGTTCTTGGGAGTGGGTTCTTAGACGGGTTAGGATAATTTTTTCTACCACTTTGCTCATAGCCGGGAGCAGGCTAATGGGCCGGTAGTTGGATGGGATGGTGTGATCTTTGTTGGGTTTTGGGATAAGGATTATGTTTGCTGTTTTCCAGCGGGTAGGGAAGTGTCTTAGTCTTAGTATTTTCACTTAATATTTATAAATTTATTTCCATGTCCTCTGGCAAATTTTCTGCAGACATCCATACCCAAAAACTCGAGCTTGCAATTGTAATCAGTAAGTCAGTCATATATGTCACCAGGTGCCATAATTTTTTGTTCTTATTCATGGCCAAAATATTCTATATATTTATGGTTACAACTTACAAGCCACGTGATCGCCGAGCTTAGGCAACCAACTTTGCACGGTTGGTACTCTCAACTAAGATTGTCTAAATCTTAGCATCGCCAATATTACTGATTTCTTTATTACAATAATGCGCCGCGCCGCGCCATTATTCTATGGCTAGAAATTGGCCTCAATGATTTGGGATCGAGGGGGATTATCCCTCTTTATCCTGCCTCATCTCGTGTAGGCCTGGACAGCCTTCGTAGGTGGGCCCCATCCGTCGTCTACCCCGACCGCAAATGCGGCCGGTGTAGGCGCTTTGTGGGACCTCCTTTTGTCCTGGCTGGGCCCCGCCGGCTAGGGCCCTTTCTTCTGGCGCTCTTCTTGCTTCGCCGGCTCGTCTGTGTAAACCCCGGGGGTAGTGTCATGTTTATGTGTGGTATGGTTGGGTAGGGTAGTGCGGCTATGCAGCCTGGGATGCGCTTTGCTAAGGTGGCCCTTAGGCTAGCGCGGGAGGG